AGCACTGACACTACTGCACACAGACAGACAGATACACTCTACAGCACTGACACTACTGCACACAGACAGACAGCCACACTCTGCAGCACTGACACTACTGCACACAGACAGCCACACTCTACAGCACTGACACTACTGCACACAGACAGCTACACTCTACAGCACTGACACTACGGCACACAGACAGTTACACTCTACAGCACTGACACTACTGCACACAGACAGACAGCTACACTCTACAGCACTGACACTACTGCACACAGACAGACAGCTACACTCTACAGCACTGACACTACTGCACACAGACAGACAGCCGCACTCTGCAGCACTGACACTACTGCACACAGACAGACACACTCTGCAGCACTGACACTACTGCACACAGACAGCCACACTCTGCAGAACTGACACTACTGCACACAGACAGCTACACTCTACAGCACTGACACTACTGCACACAGACAGACAGCTACACTCTACAGCACTGACACTACTGCACACAGACAGACAGCCACACTCTACAGCACTGACACTACTGCACACAGAAAGACAGATACACTCTACAGCACTGACACTACTGCACACAGACAGACAGCCACACTCTACAGCACTGACACTACTGCACACAGACAGACAGCTACACTCTACAGCACTGACACTACTGCACACAGAAAGACAGATACACTCTACAGCACTGACACTACTGCACACAGACAGACAGCCACACTCTACAGCACTGACACTACTGCACACAGACAGACAGCTACACTCTACAGCACTGACACTACTGCACACAGACAGCTACACTCTACAGCACTGACACTACTGCACACAGACAGACAGATACACTCTACAGCACTGACACTACTGCACACAGACAGACAGTTACACTCTACAGCACTGACACTACTGCACACAGACAGACAGATACACTCTACAGCACTGACACTACTGCACACAGACAGACAGCTACACTCTACAGCACTGACACTACTGCACACAGACAGACAGATACACTCTACAGCACTGACACTACTGCACACAGACAGACAGCTACACTCTACAGCACTGACACAGAGGCAAATTCCAGCCATCTTTCAAAATTCTCCCATAATTCAGTGTGTGAGGTGTAAACAGAGAGATTCAGAGAGGTTTGGTGTGAAATAGTTCAGATGTCTTTACAGTGGTGGTGATAGGAACCAGGGGTCGCCATGACTACAACACAGATATAGACATTTTATTTACTATCCAGAACTACCAGTGAACCTACACGAGTCTTCTGAGTTTATATGGAATGTTGATGATGAAAATAGTGGAAAATCTGAAATAATAAGTTTTCTTTGGGGACTATTTTGCCTCACAGTGCCCTGCATGTATCCCTCCACCATGAATGGAGTTTAAGTTCTCTAAACTATCATAAAACAGTGTCTCAGTCATCAGGCAGTGAATTCATAACCATTTCATGTAGGAACTTTCTGTGAGGGAGCTTTTAGAGGTGGACGTCTGGTTCCTATCACCACCACTGTGAAAAGTTCTGACTCGGTAAGTTTATCTAGAACAGAGCGTTTCACACCAAACCACTTTGAACCGCTCTGAACTGCTCTGCTTTCATTGTAACGTAATAATGTGAGGCATTTCTGGATAAAAGCTTGCTGCTGAGTCTGCACTGATGTGATCATCAACAAATGCCACAACAAGAGCACATAGAGGGCGCTAGTGAGTAGATATGGCAAAAATATATATTATTTCACAATACATGATATGTCACGATATTCAATCTATACTATGAAGTGAGTGTGTTTATATGCACTCAATAATCCGATCATAATCGGATTTCTAAAGTTATCTAATTATTCAAATGGTCATGTAAACAGCACACTCCGATCTAGAAATCTGATAAAGAGGCTGGATTTCAGCTCAGTAGTCAGATTTCTCAGTGCTGTAAACTCTTACTCTGATTTCTTTCAGATTTCTCAGTCTGAGCATGTGCGAAAACAGATGCCGGTACCAGAAATAAGTGAGCAGCTTCGCCACGAGATGCAGCAAAACGCTTTTGGAGCGACACTGAAACCAAATACGTGCCTGACGAAATGAAGGATTTAAATATTCTTCATCTTCTAGATGATGTATGTTTATATTTTCAGGTAAAGTGCTGCGATGTCTAACCAAAAAGCCGCAGCATGAAGTTTGAGTTTTATGTTACGTTTACGTTTCGTCTTCTTCTGTGAGTTTATTGGCTGGCTGTAAAGCAGAAATCCGATTACTGTCTGACTCATGTAGACCCGGACTTTCACGTTATCTGATTACTCAAGCGCATGTAAATGCATTGTTCGCATTACTAACAAAATCTGATTTTTGGCAGTAATCGGATTATTAAGTGCATGTAAACACACTCAGTGTCTACAAGTACTGACAATATACACAATATGTTCAGAAAAGCATATTGTATTGTATTGTGACCCAGATTATCATGATAATGATATACATCGTCATATCGCCCAGCCATAGTAGTGAACTCTCCTTTAAACACCAGACTGAGAGACGAGATGCCCAGCAGCCTCACTGTCCTCAGGGCTACGGTCAATAACCTAACCGTCTACTCTCATTTAGAATGTAAACACTAGAGACGCAGGAAGGAGTTTAAAGCTGTAGGTGCTGAAATTTTGAACAGCGTGTTCGTTACGTGGACGATGACGTTTTCCCCTTCGAATTTTTTTAAATGTCAGCAAACAGAGTCAAACTGCACCGTAATAAAGACACATGACTGACACATCAGAGCGCTGACGCACATCCTCTCTGCTCTCATCCTGGACCAACTCTAAGTCACAAGTGCACAGAGCAGCAGATATAACGGCTGATAAAACGTTATTATTGCGTTTGATCATTTTTTTAGGTTTAAAAACCGTATGAGCTGCTTTGGGGTTCAGAACTGGCCTATAACTCTCTTCCTCTCTTTAAACCCCCAACTGTGTGTGTTTTAGTGCTGCAGCCCCCACAGCCCTCACAGCCCCCCCACTTCCCTGCTAAACGCTGTATTAATATTGCACATAAAGACAATAAAAATATTTAACATAAAGACCAATACTGCACACTTGTTTTTCACATCCTCCACTTTTTTGACAATTTTTTGCATAATGTAAAAAACTCCAGTTACTCTTCACAGTGTTAAAATATCCTGATGAATGGACCAACAGAAAAGACCCACAATTACTTGGGAAAATCTACTGACATTGACTTCCATTACATGTTATTAATGTTTCTTCTTCTCCTGTAAAGTTCCTGTTTTGGAGATGTGATGTTTTTGTTTAGACATTGATGCAACGTAAACACAGTCCCATTAAACACACTGCACATAAACACTAACACTGCACATCATCAAAGCACCAATATCAAAGACATAAACACAGAACCCATTCTGCAGTTAACTAAACTACCAATATTAGAGCACAGCCCAGAAATTAGGGCATAAACACAGCATCAGTTCTGTCAATAACAACACAACCAATACTAGAACATCATTATGAATATTAGGACATAAACAGAAAACCACTACTAGGACATAACCACAGCGTTAGTGCCACAAATAACCAGAGTGTCACATCTAGAACCTAACCATAGAACCCAATAGTAGAACATAAATAGTAGCAGTATTGAAAATAACCACAGAACCAATATTAGAATGTATAGGTCAGTGTCTCCGTGCTTATAAACACACTAGCACTTCTGCAAATAACTAAAGAACCATAAACATAGAGTACATTACACACGTGTCGGCTCAAAACTCCGCTACAGCTGAGCTAAAGTACCGATACTGGAACATAAACAGAGAACCAACATTAGGACATGAACACAGTACTAAGTACTGCTGCAAATAACCAAAGTACCAATGTTAGAACATCAACACAGTATCAATACTTAGACACAAGACATAAGCAGAGCACCAATATTATTACATAAACACAGTACCGACATCAGGACATAAACACAGTACCGACATCAGGACATAAACACAGTACCGACATCAGGACATGAACACAGTACCGACATCAGGACATAAACACAGTACCGACATCAGGACATGAACACAGTACCGACATCAGGACATAAACACAGTACCGACATCAGGACATAAACACAGTACCGACATCAGGACATGAACACAGTACCGACATCAGGACATAATCACAGTACCGACATCAGGACATGAACACAGTACCGACATCAGGACATGAACACATAAACACAGTACCGACATCAGGACATGAACACATAAACACAGTACCGACATCAGGACATAAACTGAGTGCCAATATTAATACATAAATATAGTACCAATAAACTAACCATATCAGAGCATAAACAAAATACCAACACAGTACTATGTACAGCAAATGACCACAGTACCAACATTACATCATCATTACAGTATCAATACTTGGACATAAGCAGAGAACCTATATTATTACATAAATATAGTACCACTAAAGTAACAATATTGGGGCATAAAGTTTCATTATTACATAAATATAGTACCACTAAAGTAATAATATTGGGGCATAAGCCTAGCACCAACATCACACCGTAACCACAGTGCTAGTCCCACAAAGTGGCGCTTTTAGAACATAACTGCAGAACCAAGAGTAGAGCAGAGCATAAATAACGGCTGTGTTGAAAATAACCGCAGTACCAGTATTAGACCGTATAACTCAGCGACCCAGTGATAATAAACACACTATCAGTTCTGTGAATAACTAAAATACCATAAACATAAAGTACATCACACACGAGGCTGTTCATAAGCGCTACAGCTCAGCATTAGAACATCAACACTGTTATAGTACTGCACAGAGTTCTACTACAGAACCTACTGCACACACACACACACACACACACACACACACACTGCACTATCACTATCACAGCACTATTTCTGCTCATAATCACACGAACAGCTCATTAAATCACTCCTCCACTCTCCCGGCTCATCCCGCCGCTCTTACCCGCCTGAGGACGCCTACAGCCCGGCGTGAGCGCGTGTCATCACCCGGGGCTCCCGGTGGTGATTAATTAAGATGTAAGTAAACAAAATGAATTAAAGAACAGATAACGGCGCGTGCCTCCCTCGCGCGGCTCTCCACTGGAGTGTATGCTGGTGATGATGATGATGGTGAGAGGCGTTGTTTTTTCCCCACCCGTTTTCTGTAAACCCCGCCCTCGTGAGCTGGGATTGGATGGATGCAGCCCCACCCTCCTGCGCTACGATTGGATAGTAGTTCGTCCTGCGCCATAGGTTCACAATCCAATCATAGCGCGGGGGGGAGGAGGGGCTTAACAGAAAACGGGTGGGAAGTAAAAAGTAGCCAATACCAGCGGGACTGGCGTGATTGACAGCTGTGTGAGCCAATAGAACGGCTGGATTCATTGAGCGGCGGGTTTGTAAACGGAGACAGTGGAGCAGCGAACAGAGGGAGCGATTAATAAGACGGAAAATAAGGTGATTTAATAAAATAAGGTGATTTATGAAGAGATATAAGATCTTTAGCACGAGAGCACTGATAACATCACACCCCAGAACCGGAAATGAGAGATCTGCAGGATTTTTACTGTAATTTTACTGTATTGAGACAGTGGTGCTCTTATGCTAAACACATTCATATTTACAGTAATGTAAATGCAGTAAAGTACATCTATCTATCTCTCTGTCTGTCTCTCTCTCTGTCTGTCTCTGTCTATCTGTCTATCTATCTATCTCTCTGTCTGTCCCTGTCTATCTGTCTATCTCTGTCTGTCTCTCTCTCTGTCTGTCTCTGTCTATCTGTCTATCTATCTATCTCTGTCTGTCTCTCTATCTGTCTGTCTCTGTCTCTCTATCTGTCTATCTATCTATCTCTCTGTCTCTGTCTCTCTATCTGTCTATCTATCTATCTCTCTGTCTGTCTCTCTGTCTGTCTGTCTCTGTCTCTCTATCTGTCTATCTCTCTGTCTGTCTGTCTATCTATCTATCTATCTGTCTGTCTGTCTGTCTGTCTGTCTATCTATCTATCTATCTATCTATCTATCTGTCTGTCTGTCTGTTTGTCTGTCTGTCTGTCTATCTATCTATCTATCTATCTATCTATCTGTCTGTCTGTCTGTTTGTCTGTCTCTCTATCTGTCTGTATATCTATCTATCTATCTATCTATCTATCTATCTATCTATCTATCTGTCTGTCTGTCTGTCTTGTCCTCATTTGTAACACGGTTCATTGTCTGGTCTGCTGCTGCCCCCTGCTGGTCCATCTGATCTGCATATAGAGATTATAGTGAAAGTAATTGAGATTGATTATTAACGTTATTACTATAACAAAAAATAATCTCATCCATAATTTAATCTGATGAATCTTAGAAACCTATAAAATAAAGTATATATAATAAAAATTTGATATTATAATTCCTTTATGGAGCTGCAGGTCCTTTTACTTTTACTGCTGTTTTATCACGCATCATCCTTTGATCTCTACTGTAAACAGATCAGACAGAACACATCAAACAGAACAAACAGAGCCCACCGCTAATCTGCTAAAATTGGGCTAATATGGGCAAACCCCATAATTCCAGTGGTGTGATTATGAGAGGCTGGGCAGCAGGTTTCTTATGTCAGATGTGTCAGTCAAACTTTTGATGAATTTGTTTATATAATTTATCAGACAGTGTTAAAACACGAGGGTCATTCTGGAACGACTCGCCTCATATTACTGTAACACGAGTTTTAAAGTGAAATTGTTATTATTGTATTTATACCCATTAATATTTCAACAGTTACACTCGATTTAATGTTTTAATTACTACTAATCAAAAACATAGAACACATTAAAAAATCTAGAATTAATTTGTGATTTGATTTGACGACACTTTTTCACAACTTTAAAAAAGTTTTAGAGCCTCAAAACTGAATAACTAAAAAGATATTTGGAGCACACTCTGGAAGTTTGCCAGGGTTACAGGGATTACACTGAAGTATTTTTTGGGATTTTATCCCTGGACATTTATTTCTCTATCTGTGTATTTATAATATATTTATTACTAATTTTACACACAAAATGTGATAAATAAAAACTGGATTACACTGAAGTTTTCACTGTTTGTTAATGGAAATCTGTGAGGTCACCTGTCCGGCTCCAGGTGAGTTAATGAGGAATGACCTGCAGGTGTTTTTTCACATGATAATAAATGACACACAGTCACATCTTGTGGTAGAAAAACAGAATTTATTATAAAAACACATCACTGCAGAATAAAACTGTCAACAAATTTACAAGATTTATTTTTATTCAAGTTCACAGAAACAAACACTCAAATAATTTCACTGTTTTTAAAGACTGTAATAATTAAAACAGTCAGAGATATAAACACTGAGCGCAGGTCAGATACAGACGTGTAGTGAATCAGCCCTGTGATATTCCAGCACGTGCTTCTCCAGCAGGGGGCAGCAGTCAGCTGTGAACTGACGGTTCCATTTTAAAGGGCCCATTTCACAGAAAACTGAACCTTCATCACTGCTTGGCAAACAAATACTTTGATATAGACCCTAAACTGTCTGTACAGCCTATACAGGAACTATATAGCCTGTTCTGAACTGGGTCTGTGACGTCACAAAACCAACATATTTACACACATCCACCTATTCAGCCTACAGTAGTTTAGCCCCGCCCATTCACGCTGAGGTTATAAGGAGTGTTTCAGCCTGGACTGCTTTTTAAATGAAGCACATACAAGCCAACCAATCAGAACAGAGCTCATTTACATACATCCGTCTTAAAGGCACAGTAACTGAAACGGTCTGTTTGATTCTAAGGGATAAAGAGAGGCTGGAAAAGTCATGTAGAAATGAGTGATGATAAAAGTCACACAGAAACAGAAGAAAAACATAAGATACCGGCTGCTTAAGTACAGCTGTACCACCTTTTGATTGATGGTCCAGTGAAAATGTAAAAGCGTATCAGTCTGAAAGTTAAACTGGTAACACTACAGTCCTTTACAGGCCAAAATAAAATTTTACTTTCAAAGTGTTTTATGAGGCTAGTTGTTCTGAATTCATGTACATTAAATTTGTATAACAACTATTTCAATGTGTATATTTGTGTAATTGCATAATTAGTCATTATGAAGTGAATTTAATGCATTTAATTTACATTCTACAGTCCCACTATAATGAATTAATTATCATTAAAGACCATTTTTTGAGAATTTTCTTTTTCCATCATGTATAAAATATGTATATCATACAAATAACAGATAAACAGAATTTTAAAGCGAAACCGTTCAATTATAAAGAGATATTGTACTAATACTCAGTTGAGTGTGAGTATAAAGTATTTGAAGTTATTTTTGGCCAAATTAAAATTCCAATTCTAATTTTTTTTAACATAAAAATACTAAAAACAAATGTTTGTTTATATTCCACCAACAGAATCAGAATCAGCCCAAAATCGAGTCAATCAGACTGAATCATAGTGACCAGTGAGATTTCCTGAGACACTGAATGGTTTCCTGAACTGAGCGGTTGTGAGGTCACAGATTTGCCCATTAAAGCCCACCAATCAGATTCACTGTGTTTACCTTCACAGTGAATTGAGGCCCTGATTCAGACAGAAAACTGACCAGACTGAGACTCTGAAACACTCTAAACACAGAATAACCATGAGAAACTCAGAACAGCAGCCGTAAAAACACACATTAACACACGAAGAACGTTAATCACAGCTCTGACCGTCAGTCAGGGGTCAACAACGACGCCACGGCTTTATGAACACTGAAGTCTCAGCACTTTATGGTCACTTTAACAGAAAATCTTCCACATCACTCTGAATCACAGCAGCCGCTGAGTAAATATAATAAAGTCAGTCTGGATTAAAACACAGCAGCTGGTGAATCAGTCCTGTCAGTGAGGCGGGGCAGCGTTTGTCCAGCAGTGTCCAAGCGTTAAAGGTCTGGTAGCACAGAAACATGAACCTCTCACTTTGGCGTAGTTTGTAAACATTGTTAAAGCTCCACTTTAACGTACCGTCCACTCCTCAGTACGAACAGCGCTGTACATGGAAACTAACTCCGTTTTGGAATCATTGGTCCTCGTTCACTGACCGTTTCTTCTTAAACCCACTTACGCAGTTCTGACGAAGACCCTGACTCACCAGTGTTTCTTATGTGGGGTTTGTTCTCAGGTAAGAACAGAACCTACACACACTCAAGAGCACGAAGGAGAGAACCGTTCTGCGCTTTAAGAACACGTCATGTCGGTTCTCAGGACCTTTCTTAAGAACTCATGAATGAGGATCATGTTTATGGTCAGAAATAAACAACACATCTTTACAGCTGTCATAACTAAACCTTGTATTTCCATGTTTTTGGCATAATCTGAAAAAAACCTGCTAAATTTCATGAATGGACCAAAAGAAACGAACCAGAGTTGCTTGGTAAGAAGTCTGTTTACACTGACTTACATTAAAAGTGGGAGCCGGGTGAGGGTTGGGTTTAGGGTTGAGGTTAAGGTCAGGATTAGAGCAGGTTTAGAGTTAAAGAACATTATGGTCAGTTTAGTCGATATTTTGTTGAATGTAATTTGAAAGTAAACTAATTATCTACAAAGCATCTAAAGTGGACGATCAAATTACCGACAATATAATATTTTATTCACCCCAAATCATCTCCAAACAGCAGTGTGATAGTGTGAGACGCCCAGTCTGTTCCAATCTGTCGGGACTTTATAAGGCTTTCTGAGGCTTTAGGGCGGTTTTGTGTGTCTTCTGTCTCACTTCACTGAAAAAGTAAGGCAGTAAGGCAGTCTTACAGCCTCGGCGTAACTTTTGCTGGTGCAGTGGGCGTAAAAATCCGCTCTGAAAACTGGTTTTAGCTGCGACCAACTTAGCAGTTAAGACCGTCTTAGTTAAGACCTGCTGGTGCGCCCGGCCCCAGAACGGGGACTGGGGGCCCTGTTGTAGGGGAGGAAGAGAGATTTTGGGAAACAGTCTGAAAAACCACACAAACATCACCGTGGAGCTCAGAGAGAAGACAGAATATATAAGTGTGGAACACGGACCCTTTAGGAGTGAGAGAGTTATTGAGTCCAGTACCCGGCAGGACAGCGCCAGTGCGACACTGTAACACACTTCCGTCTGAACGCTGTCCGTCAGACACACGCGGCGTCCACGCCCCACGGGCTTGATGATGTCATCAGCGTTTAGGTCCTACAGGAGCTCCTGAGTCTTCTTCCTCTCTGCGCTTTAAAACAGGAGGAAACGTCACATGAGCCACAGTGAGCTAACCGGCTTTAGCTAGAACCACCTCTATATAACAGTGTTTATCTGTACCATCCCGAACCTTAAATCCACCGGTGCCTTAAATTCACTGAAACTTTAAATCCTCTAATACCTTCAATTCAGTGAGACCTTAAATTCACTCACACTTTAAATCCACTAATACTATAAATCCACCAGTACCTTAAATACACTGTCACCTTAAATCTATTGGTATGTTAAATCCACTGGTACCTTAAATCCACTGATACCTTAAATCCACCAGTGCCCTAAATCCACTTTAAATGCACTTTAAATGCAGGATGGTGTTGAGGTTCAGATCTCACTTGTTCCTGGTCCCCTCCACGTCCTCGATGGTGTCTGGCAGGGGTTTGTGGGCCGTCTCTGGCAGAAGAGCGGTCAGCACAGCGCCCACTAGTGGACATAGGCCGAAAACCACCATGGGAGCGTGCAGGTTGACCCGCCTCAGGAGGTAGATGATGGGTGCAATCACACCACCAGCACGAGCACACATAGAGCTCATACCGATACCACTCTGCCTGCAGAGAGAGAGAGAGAGAGAGAGAGAGAGGGGGAGGAAATATTATCACTATGATATTTTCAATAAAATGTTATTACAATAAAATATTAGAGCGTTCAGTTGAGTGTTAGGTAGTGTGTTGAGGTGTGTTGATAGTGTAGTGTTGGGTAGTGTTGAGGTGTGTTATACAGTGTAGTTTTGAGGTGTGTTGGATAGTGTAATGTTGAGGTTTGTTTGGTAGTATTGGAGTTTTGGTTTGGGCTGTGTTGTGTTGAGGTGTGTTGGGTAGTGTATTTTTAAGGTGCGTTGGGTAGTGTAGTGTTGTGTTGGGTAGTGTGTTGAAGTGTTATAGGTCGTGTTGAGGTGTGTTAGATTGTGTAGTGTTGTGTGTTGGGTAGGGCAGTATTGAGGTGTGACAGGTAGTGTTGAGCTGTATTAGTATTGTTGAGGTGTACTGGGCAGTGTAGTGTTGGTATGTTGTTGAGGTATGTTGGTTAGTGTAGTATTGAGGTGTGTTCGGTAGTGCAGTATCGAGCTGTGTTGAGTAGTGTTGAGCTGTGTTGGGTAGTGTAGTGTTGAACTGTGTTGGGTAGTGTAGTGTTGAGGTGTGTTTGGTAGCGTTGAGGTGTGTTGGGTAGTGTAGTGTTGAGGTGTGTTTGGTAGCGTTGAGGTGTGTTGGGTAGTGTAGTGTTGAGCTGTGTTGGGTAGTGTAGAGTTGAAGTGTGTTGGGTAGTGTTGAGGTGTGTTGGTTAGTGTAGTATTGGGGTGTGTTGGGTAGTGTTGAAGTATGTTGGGTAGTGTTGAGGTGTGTTTGTTAGTGTAGTATTGAGGTGTGTTGGGTAGTGTTGAGGTATAATAGGTAGTGTTGAGTTATGTTTGTGGTGTGGTTTTAAGGTGCGTTGGATAGTGTAGTGTTGTGCGTTGAGTAGTGTTGAAGTGTGGTAGGTTGTGTTGAGGTGTGTTGGGTAGTGTTCAGGTGTGTTCATTAGTATGGTACAGATTAGTGTTGGGCAGTGTTGATGTGTATTAGTGCTGAGGTGTTTTGGTAGAGTGGTGTTAAGATATGTTGGGTAGTGTAGTGTTGAGCTGTGTTGGGTAGTGTAGTGTTGAGCTGTGTTGAGTAATGTTGAGCTGTGTTGAGTAGTGTTGAGCTGTGTTGGGTAGTGTAGTGTTGAGCTGTGTTGGGTAGTGTAGTGTTGAGCTGTGTTGAGTAATGTTGAGCTGTGTTGAGTAGTGTTGAGGTGTGTTGGGTAGTGTAGTGTTGAGGTGTGTTGGGTAGTGTAGTGTTGAGGTGTAGTTGGATGTTCGGTACCTGATAACTGTGGGGAAAACCTCTGCTGAGTAGATGTAGACGATGGACAGAGACGCTGTGATCCCGAACTTCCCGAACATGGCGAGGACAGTGCGAACCACAGGCAGCTCTACCAGAGAGAGAGAGTTTCAGTACTCTGTATAAGTATTAGACTGTGCTCTGCAGTGCACACACAGCTACACTCTCTGTTTAATCCTGACAGCAGGGGGCGCTGCAGCTACCTCAGAAACCCTCTCTGCCCATGTCCTTTCAGCACAGCCCTCCTCAGAACAATCTACCTGCAGCAGTGACCCACCTGGGGGGATGAAGATGGTGAGGAGGCAGGCGAGCCCCCCCACGGCGAGGAAGGAGAGCTGAGAGATCTTGCGGGAGCGGTTGAGGGTGAAGAGCGTGATGGTGCGCGCCGGCATCTCCACCAGCCCGAAGATCAGCTGGGTCAGGTAGATGTTCATCCCGAAGTCGGACACGTTCAGGGACAGACCGTAGTAGACCAGCACGTTCACGAACCTGCAACACACGACACGGAGCTCAGCGGCCTCGCAGGCGTGATCTCTCAACGAGAACCTCGAGAGAACCATCAGTAATTTTGGGCTACATACCGGGGGATGTGATGCTAACGGAAACACGTTGTCAGTATTCCCTCTCCCAGGAACCAACAGTGCCCACATTCGCACTGACTATGTACTGATTCACGACATTTGGATCCACTGAGCGAATCGATGGTTTTACTTCTTCTGGAACACAACAGACCTCGTGCTGACTGACTAACGACCTGAGTCTCTTAGTTAATTAACCGAGAAAAGGTGAGCTCAGCAGCTAACATCGCTCTGATTAGCTCCAGTGTTAGCTTTAGCATCAGCTCAGCCTCCGTCGCTAAAAACTCCTCCTTATTAGACACAAAAACCTGCTGCTTTAACCAATCAGCAGTGTATAATTAGCGTGTCGTGCTGTGATTGGCTAGTTTACTCAGTAAACAGGTGAGTGAGGGTCAGTAGTGCTGCTCTGTGAACTACATTATGAAGTACATATTCAATGATGAGTAACTCTCAAAAATCGGTGAGCTACACGCTTAAAAAGATGGTTCTTCAAGGTTTATTCACTAAAGACAATGGTTCTATTTAGAACCATGAACACTCATAGAACCATTTTCAGGGTTTAAGAGTCCTTTGCATTGTGAAATGGTTCTTCAGATGGAGAATGTGTTGAATATGGTTCTATATAGGGCCGAAAAGGCCCTTTTTGGTACTATTTAGAACCATATACACATATTCTCCATCAATCTGAAGAACCATTTCACCACGCAAAGGACTAAATGGTTCTATACAAAACTGATAGTTCTAAACAAAACCACTGCATTTACTAAAGAACGCTTGAAGAACCATTTTTAGTGAAGGCCTGTCACGATCAGGACAGTTCAGCTAAAGATGAAAAAATTGATTAACAGTTAATAAGTGATTAACAGTTTAATTATCCAGTTGATTGATTAGCTTGATCTTGCTCTTTACTCTGCAGCTAACAGGAAAGATACAGCACAGGCATGCAAATGGTTCTTTGAGTGTTCATGGTTCTGTATAGAACTGTTGCCTTTCCTAAAGAACCCTTGAAGAACCATCTTTTTTAAGAGTGCATAATTGTTTATCATGCTAATTCATTTTTTTCGCAGCTGAATGCTTGATTTTTGTCATCCTCTAACACCCCTCGAATCCAGCCCTGGTGGTGGTCCCTCTGCGTACCAGGGGGCCTGGTTTGGGTTCTGCCCACCTCTACTGCACATTACAGGCTGTGCAGCTCTGTGTGCCGTGTTGCCCCCGTGTTCGGCTGTATTTGACGCTCTGCCAGTGATCAGAATGATTGACTGAAATAAAAGTGTTTGTAGTCTAATTTCCCCAAAGACACTACAAACGCTGCCCTGTGCAGACCCCCTGAGTCATCTCCGGAACCGAGCTGCGGGGTTTGTAGTTGAATTCTACTGATAACAGTAACAGTAAGTTTCATTTATCCAGCGTCCTTCTCAAACTCAAGGCTGCTGCACGGAAATCAGTGACAGACAAAACAAACCGCAGAAAAAAAACCCAAAGTCACGAGAAAAACTTCCTGTGGGGGGGCGTGGGGGGGCGAAGGGGGGGGGGCACCTCAGTCAGCAGAAAAACTTCCTCATTGGTCTTAAACTTCATTTAAGCACAGAGAAACTCTTTGAGGCCTTCCTCACTGAGACACGACTCAGAATTCCTGATATCAAAGGTTTTGCACTCACTGCTGCTGTGAACACTTAGAAAGTGACAGTTTCACTGCAGTTTCAGCTCTAATCTGTTATTTAAGATGTCACTATGGTAAACACACACCCCCCACCCCCTCACTCTCTCTCACCACACATAGAAGAGGATGAGCGACTGTTTCCTCATCTGCGGGGTTCTCAGCAGGTCCACCACCGAGTGCTTCCTCTGCAGCTTCTGCTCCAGTTTGCAGCTCTGAACAAACACACAAACACAGCGTCACACGGCCGGCAGCGCAGCTCTGACCTCACAACCACACCAGCCAAGTCTGCCTGAGTGCTAATCGGTGTACATGAGCTTCTATTACTCATTAGCTGCATTAGCCTCGCAGCTCCAGTGCTAAAACTAAAGAAGTGAAGTTCAGATCCGAACACGTCTCATCTGATCGACTGTGTTTGGGGTGCGAGGAGAGGAACTGGGGGGGGGGTGCAGATCTGACTTTGTACCAAACTGTCACTTTAATTCTGAGTGATCTGAGTGGCTGAAGCTGTTAGATCTCAGCCATAAAATGCAAACCATGCTAATCCAGACTGAGCTGCTGATACAAACGGCTATAAACACTGCAGACGCTCTGAACTCAAACATCTCACCACGTCTTACACACCGTTTAAGGTTCTCCATATAACGGATCCAGCAGTAAAGTGAATGAGAACCTTCTTTTAAGGTTCTCCATATAACGGATCCAGCAGTAAAGTGAATGAGAACCTTCTTATAGGGTTCTGCATATAACAGAACCAGCAGTAAAGTGAATGAGAACCTTCTTCCAAACAGTTCACTGACATATAAAAAAAAGAACAAAAGCAACATTCAACACAGCAGTCTAGCCCCGCCCATTCAGCCTACAGCAGATTAGCTCCGCCCACTCACACTGAAGTTATAGGGAGAGTTTCAGCTCAGACTGTACTTTAAATAAAGCACAATACTGCACAGCTAATCGGAACAGAGCTATACATATATATATATATATATATATATATATATTTTTTAAAGGCACAGTAACACAAGCAGCCTGTTTAATTCCAATACTGAACTGAAGGGTTTGGGCTCTTTAATACCTGCTGGAGCTCCAGGTCGCTTTCTTTGAGAGGTTTTCCGTTCATCAGTGCAGCTTTATGGATCAGCTGCATCGCCTCCTCCTGCCTGCCGTTCGCCATCAGCCAGCGCGCCGACCTCGGGAGAACCCTGACCACACAAACACACACACACACACACACACACACACACAGATACACACACACACACACACACACACAGATACACACAGACACACACACACACACACACACACGCAGATACACACAGACACACACACACACACACACAGATACACACACACGCACACAAATACACACACACACACAGATACACACATACACACACACACAGATACACACACAGGCACACACAGATACACACACACACACACACACACATACACAGATACACACACACACACACACAGATACACACACACGCACACAAATACACACACACACACACACACACACACAGATACACACACACACACACACAGATACACACACACGCACAGATAAGTGGAGCAGATGTAAAGTTTAAAACTAAAGATCTAAGCTGCACCTGTCTAAGTTTTACTTGCTAATTAAATGCAGCTCGTTAGCACAAAGCGGTGGTTTTGCGATGGGGCCCAGCCGACTCACCCAGAGTAACCCTTCAATATTAAAATCATATTGATAAACTAGAAAAGTGCACTGCCCGAAGAAGATGCTGTGAGTGTGGTTGCTAGGGTGTTGCTAACCAGTTGCTATGGTATCCCAGATGGTTGTCAGGTGGTGACATTGGTATCTCAGTGGTAGGGTACTGCTTACCAGTCGCTATGGTATCTCTGCTGATTGCTAGGGTGTTGCTATGTAGTTGTCGTGGGTCTTTTGGGTGGTTGTTAGGTGGTTGCTAGGCTAGGGTGTTGTAGTGGTATCCCAGGTGGTTGCTATGATGTTGGTAGGTTGTTGAATTGTGTCGCAGGTGATAGTATCTCAAGCAGTTCTTATCTGGTTGCTAGGATGTTGCTGTTGTATCCAAGGTGGTTGCTTGGGGGTTGATCAAAGTGACTACTAGGTTGTTGCTACGTGGTTGCTATGCTATCTCAGGTGGTTGTTAGGGTCTTGCTACCTGATATGGGGTTAATATGGTGTTGCTAGTGTACTAGTATCATGTTGATATAAGCAGAGTGTAATTTTGCCCACAAGATTCTGCAATTTATTCCTATGTGAAAAAATGTAAATGATTGCTATGCGTAAAATGTACATCTAATCAAAAAAGTCTGCATCCGGAAAACTCCAGAGCTGGTTTGGTGTCGATATCTCAGAAACTTTGAGATGAGTTAGTGGACAAAAATCCTCCGAAAAACAAAAGTTAAAGGAAGAGTATAAATCAGATCAAAGTGGTGTTGTGCACTGCTGAGCGCTGTTCATGTGCACTAGTGTTCGCTCAGTGCTAACATACTATTATAAATCCCACAGAGGGGCAGAAATCAGCACCTCTCAAAGAGGCTTTTATTTTGTTGTTTAATACTGGGTTTGTCGGAAAACTGAACTCTTGACATGACGTCCTGCAGACGGCGCCGCCAACATGCCGACACAGCTAAATTCATGTGTCTGTGTTTAACTTCCTCCTCAGTGCTGCTCTCACCAGATGTAGAAGATGAAGATGAAGCCGGGGGCGGAGATGGCGAGCTGGAGGTGACGCCAGTCCCGGATCAGATACGCCAGTCCAGCCAGCAGGATGTAGCCCACGCCGAAGAAATAGTCCGTTATAACACCTGCCAGCATCCTGTGCCGAGGACCCGTCCACTCCGTACCTGAGAATCACAGACTCCACTCAGAACACCTTCACTCTCAGCCTTAAAGAGACAGTTCAGCCCTAAAGCACCTCCCCCAGTTCTGCCCACAACTAATAACAGTATATTATTTATCACTAAGTTCACTTATTGTTTACAAAATTCTTGAAATATTTGATAAAACATCTAAAACGGATTTTGGTAAATCCTCTGTAATATGTAATTCAGATTATATTTTGTTATACATAAAATAACAAAAAATGTTAATCTGGCAAGTGATAACCTCCCAGATGGTTGTTAGGTGGTTGATAAGGTGCTGCTTACTGGCTGTTATGGTCTCTCTGATAGTTGCTAGGGTGCTGCTAGGTGGTTGCTATGGGTATTTAGGGTGGTTGTTAGGTGGTTACAAGGCTAGGGTGATGTAGTAGTACCCCAGATAGTTGCTATGGTGATGGTAGGTGGTTGTAATTGTGTCCCAGGTGATGGTATTTCAAGCAGTTGTTATCTGGTTGCTAGGATGTGGTTATGGTACTGTGTTAATTCTGGCAAATGACTAACTTTAACCACTCATTGCTCGCTAGCAGTTCAACACAGAGTCACAACAGTTCACAGCAACGTCCTAATTAATATCACAGAAATTAACTGAGTTACAGAGGAAGAAAGTGATTGATTATAATATGAATGAATATACAAGTCGATTTACATTAGTTAACACTAAGCAGTACGAAATAAGACATTTTCAGACACCTTTTAAAATCTAAGGCTTTATAGGACTTTTAAGGATCTAAGAGAACCATGTAATCAAAGTGTGAAAAATTAGCGCTTTGGACCCCCTAAAGGTCTCAGAATCAAAAGTCTGAAAATAAACTTTGACGTTATGCTATTCGTTAGAGAAAAGTAGCCCCTCAAATCCAGATTCAGTGAAGCTGATCGCTGATCTGCTTCCCCCACAATCAGCTTCTGTCTCTGGTGATCTTAACTAGCTAGAGCTGCAGCACTGCTCTGCCTCAGGGTGGCGCTGTAGCAGACTGGTTCACCCAGTTGGTCCTTCATAGTCTAGAAACTGTAACTCTGCCTGGATTCCTCTGAAAAACTTTACAATGAGCTGCAGCAGATCTGTAAATCTGAAAACTCGCCCAGTTTCCCAAGAGTTTGGAGTGAAGAGTGACTGTTCCTCATTTCTCACACTGAAGACAGAAGAGGAGACGAGGAAGATCTCAGTTACTGTGAGGAAGAGCGCAGAACCGCACTAGAACAGAGACTCTACAGAAGAGGAGACGAGGAAGATCTCAGTTGCTGTGAGGAAGAGCGCAGAACCGCACTAGAACAGAGACTCTACAGAAGAGGAGACGAGGAAGATCTCAGTTACTGTGAGGAAGAGCGCAGAACCGCACTAGAACAGAGACTCTACAGAAGAGGAGACGAGGAAGATCTCAGTTACTGTGAGGAAGAGCGCAGAACCGCACTAGAACAGAGACTCTACAGAAGAGGAGATGATAAACAAACATTTACTGACACTGAATCATCAGCGCCGCTATGGAGAGAGAGTTAGCAGACAGACAACACGGGACCCCCGAATACCACACTGCCTGTAATAATGAGTCACTCACCCAGTACGAAGGCGTTCATGATGACTCCTGAAATTGTCGTTCCCACCACAAAGCGCAGCAGCACGTAGATGTAGAAGTTGGGAGCGAATGCAGCACCGACGCCAAACACAGCCTGCAGAGCCAGAGCCACCAGGATGATCACCCTACGGCCAAACCTGAGCAACAGAACAGCAGCCGGCCGCACCAGCTGGACGTCAGTCCACCTTCTAGCCATGTTTGGATGTAAACTAAAACCACATTCCAGTTTATGAGCTACTAGAGTTTAAACAGTTTGACTGAGTAGCGCAGTTTCAACACAGCCTTCAGCCACAGCTTCAGATTTACACCCACACATTATTAGAAACAAAGTCCACCATAAAAAAGAAAAGAAAATCATCTCACAGTGAAAGCAGCGTTTTACAGTAGAGATAAATGGAGCTCATTATGCTGGTAGTGAACTATGCTGCTGACTCAGCTGCCTAAAAACCATAGAAACGGACCTTAAACAGAAGTGAGGACCCTGTTGGGGTTCATCCTAAAGTTAGGACAGGATTTAGGAGGTTCAGTCTAGTTAGGATGTTTGTGTGATGCTGTTTTCTTATCTGGAGTTCATGATGAGATTATGAAGGTAGTGAGATTGACAGACTGACCAACACTGACATTTTAGCATGAGATGAATTTCTTCTTTGCATGCTGCCTGAAACGGGACTGAGTTTAGAAAAACCACAGAACTCCGTCTGTCATAAGCAACACTGGCAGGGATGAACGCTCTACCGCCGGAGTTTCGTTGTTTTCCTGTTAGCCGTGAGTCTGTCCTGCATCCTTTTATCTCTTTTAGCTCTCGCCAGTAAAAACCAGTCTGAGATTTACTGTCTGGTCTCTCTCTCTTCCTCTCTTCCTCCGACAGCGTCTTTTTCGGTCTCTTCGCAGCCTCTGCCATGATGTCCATGCTGGGAATACTGAGCTGCTTCTTCTTATCACAGCCGAGTTGTTTTTGTGTCACGTGGTGCCGTAAAGCCTTACGCAGTTCTGGCGAGAGGTTCTTGTGCTGCTCCTCCAAAGTTACATAGTACTATAGCAGGAGTTCTGGCCCGGAGCAGCAACAACAGAGACGCTGTTCACACTGTTATAAATCAGTGTAGCATCAAGATTTAGAAGCTGTTATTTTAAGGTAAAACTGTTACAGAATGTGGCTTTAAACTAACTAACTCTCAATTTAGACTCATGTTCAGACGGTTCAGCTGGCTACTGATTTACAGCAGCACCGATCTGTGACATCACAACCACTCCGTTAGATTACTGGCTCTTTACGAATCAGCTAAGTGCTTCAGAGAATCTCACATTTCACCACTGTTTGATTCAGAGTTACTGAAAAAAGAACACAGAATACACAAAATGGAGCGACAACGTAAACAGTGGTGGAATATAAACGATTACAACAAAACACTAAACTCTGTTTTGGATTTTTACATTTGAAAATAGCTTCAGAGTTTTATTCTGGCTGCACATCTTTAGTGAATATTATTCTAATTGATTATGTTGATTCTGCTGTTCTAAAATTGCCGCAGTTGAATCTGCACCTTCATATCGACACCATACATTCAGATTAAACACTCAAACAGAAGGATGTAAAAACAGAATGTAAAATGAGTGTAAATGTAACTTTCATTATCTATATAATGTGATCTGAGCGTTTAGGCCTCATTTGAAAACGTTCTCATTTCTCTGTGTTCCAAATCCTGTTTAGGTCATTTTTAAAGTCCCAGCAGCTTCCAGAGCGCCTTTATAAATGCAAAGCTGCATGCAAATGTTTGGGCACCCCTGGCCAAATATCATACTTTGCCAGTTTTTTAAGTGAATAGAAATAAACACAACCTCTACAGCAAACTATTCAAGAATGGTTTATGTTTGACTAACTTTAAAATGGAAAACAACTACACAGTAATTGTGCCAGTGCTTCATAGCGCCCCCTTTTGGTAGATTTCACAGCTTCCTGTGTCCAGCTTGGAATCTTTCTGTTCCTGTTTTTAGGAATTTTCACCCATTTTTCTTCAGGGAACCCTTCTAGTCCTGCAATGTTCCAGCATGCACAGCATGTTTAAGCGCTACCCACAGATGTGCAGGTCAGGGGCAGTGAGGGGCGTTTCCGAAAGCTTGGACTCTTGCATTTCTTGAAGCAGTTCATGGTGGATTTTGCAGAGTGTTTGGGATCATTGTCTCGCTGTAGAAGCCGGTATCATTTCATACTGACTGTCACACAACCCCATCATAACGCTTAACCCCTGTGAATCCTGGGCTATTCTGGCTGTTTTTAATACTTTTGATTTTGCCTTTATAAACCACATTAAAACTGTTTCTCATGCCAATGTTTGACATCTTTTTTTCATCTCCTATATAACCTGACATTTTTTTTCCACTTTGACATTCTGTATCAATATACTGGGCCCAAAAAACACACAAAACACATAAAATCGGATTTAAAAAATATCAGCAAATTCAGACGTTTTCTGTTTCCTCACATGACAAAACTGACAAAGATATTAATAAAAATGCAACATATGCACACATAAATATGATTTTTATTTTAAATGTATAATATATTTTTTTTCATTTGGTCTCATTTGATGCCTATCAGCATCAAAACAGCATAGCATTTCAAGTCAGCACTTTCAACAGCAATGCTCAACATGACATTTCTTTTATGCTGTCTTGAACCAGCCATGTGATTTGATCACGGCGGCATGAGCGGCGTGGGTTAAGAGTTGGCACAGAGTTCCTTTCATCAAATGCTGTTGCTTTTTATCTGGCGTTTGGTTTGGCTGATCTAGATGTTGTTTTGCATACTTCAGACAGTGACTTTTGTGATGAGATTGCAGGACCTGTTTCCTTTTGATGAAATCAACCAAATAACAAAATATATAATTTGGCTGAGACTTGTGCATGTCATTATGACAGCTGGGCAGATATATTATGTGGAAAATATTAATCTTCCTGCACAATGCACTGAAAGGCAGGAGATGGATTAGAGCCCGTACTGCGCTAGCTTAGACGGTATTATGAGAGAAAGATATAAACCTGTGCAATGAGAGCTGAACCAGCTGAACTACTGCAAGAGATGAAAAATCCTTCGAAAGACTTTTAAACAATTAAGAGTTATAATGATTTAATTGTGACCACATTTTCTACAACCACATCATATTACAGAATAAGTTTACATAATAACACAAATGTGCCCTGATTTGTAGAGGTGATGCCTGAAGCGCTCTGTTCACTCTGAATATGACCGTATAGTGAAGCTCTGCAGAAACAGAGGTCTTTCAGTGGAGGCTGAGCGGAGTCTGAGCTGTAGATCTGCAGCTGGACTGAGTCGCTGTGTTGGACCTTCTTTCTGAATCGGCTTTCTGAAGCGGTTTTGGGCCTCGTGCCAAAACCGTGAACAGTGTGGCCGCTGTGCTCATGTTGACTGACACTGATGCAGAAACGTCAGGAGAGAAAAATGAGCTCAAACTCGCAAAACACGCACATTTAAACAACATTCAGGCTTTAACCAGCTTCTGCACACGACATGAGGGCGAGGGGCCACTTTTCCTGCGTAGAACTCACCTTATTAAGAAAGCCACAAACAGTTTTTAGAAGATTTATGAGGGAAGGGATCCGTTTTTGGGGGGCGCTGCCTCGAGGCAACATCCTGCAACCAGG